TCTCTCTCTTTTTCTTCTTTCTTTCTTTCCTTCTCTCTCTCTCTCTCTCTCTCTCTTTCTTCTTTCTTCTTTCTTTTTGATTTTGCCATAGGGCACATGAGCCAAGAAGGAAAGTAAAAAAAAAAAAAAACACCCACCCCCTCCCCAGAGGGGATGACCACACCTGCAACCCCTTTTCTTCCATTTTCCTCTTGGAATTTTGGGCACACACGCACAGGCAACTGGTGTGATTTCCGAGCTGCTGGGTCCAGGGCTCACACCTGTTTCTGCATGTGGGAATTCAGTTCCTTAACCATGCCACCTCCTGGCCCCAAGGTGGAGCTTTTTTTTTTTTTTTTTAGGTTTTCGACATAGGGCACGTGCAATCAACAGAGTGAAGGGAGAAATCGCCCCCTTGGGAGGATGGCTATGCCACAGACTTTCTCCTCCATTCTCCTCTAGGATTTTGGGCACCATGCACGTGCGCCTGGTATAATTTTTAAGCTTCAGGATCTGGGACTCGAACCATAGTGGACCATGTGGGAATCCAGCACCTTAACCACCATGCCACTTGCTGATCCAAGATGAAACTTGTTTTCATTTTTTTTTAAGAATTATTTACTTAATTTTATTTATGATTTTTTTTCTTTTAAATATACTACAAGGCACGTACGCTCACCCGAGGGGAGAGGAGGAGGGAAGTGAGAAAGCAAGCTGCTGGGTCTGGGACTCAAACTGCAGTCAACGAGGTGGTGATCCGATGCCTCAACCCTCACATACCTGCTGGCCCCAAGACGGAGCTTTCTTAACCTCCTCTTCACATCCTTAAAGCCAGACTCCATGAAGCTGAGGAATTGAGGAAATGGCCACCTACACTCCCCCCTGAGCCCTGTCTAGCTGTGCCTCCTTTTTAAAATTTATTTGTAATAATTATTTTTTATTTTTGGAGAGGTTTTTGCTATAGAATGTGTGCACTTGCCAGAGAGACAGAGAGACAAAAAGTGAGAAATCACTTCCCAGGGGAATGGCCATCCATTCTCCTCTCGGGATCTTGGGCACGCGCACACACCTGGCGTGAGTTTAAGCCACTGGGTCCAGGACTCGAACTATGGTTGAATACATGGAAGTTCAACGACATAGCCATTACACCAACTGATGGTCCTTAATATTATTTTTTAAATTTTTTTCAGAGAGAGAGAAAATGAGAAAGCCACCAAGTCTGGGACTCAAACTGTGGTTGACCATGTGGGAGTCCAGCACCTTAACACCACGCCATCTCCTGGTCCCTTGCTGTGCCTTCTTAACAGCTGTGTTCCCCACATTCTGAGTACCTACAGAGTGCAGGGCAGGGAGGACTCTGCCAGCAGGGGTCACCCACTTAGTGGTCCTCAGATCTCGGCAGGAAGTCTAGGGTGTAG